ACAAATTGGAAAAAAAAGAATTAAAAGAGAAAACGAAATAGAAAAGATTAAAAGAGAAATTGATGGAAAAGAAATTAAAAAAAAAAAAGTTAAAACAGAACAGGGACTCGAACCCATGAATAAAAGGATGATAATGACCTGTATGACCAATGCTACACAATTCTCATCATCCAATCAAATGACAAAATAATATATATAGTATATATAACTCGCAGCAACTACATGCCCAACACGTGGCATCCTTAAAGCTATGTCACACCGAAGTCGCGGCCCAATGACTGCGACTTTCACAAAATCGCAGTCATTGGCTGCGATTTCAGCCTACGATTTCACTACCCTACTTTTGAAAATACTTTCAAACCTACATTATTTGTGTCATTTGTTTTTTAAAAAACATTATTTTTAAAAAAAATCAAAAAAAAAAGTACACTTAAAAGGAGTATATATCAATAGAAGGTATATATTATATAATTAAATTAATATGTCGAAAAAAATTAATAAGTGCCACGGTCGGAAAATTAAAAAAAAAAGTTCCCGGAATAGTAAAAAAAAAGTTGTTGGAATTATTGAAAAAGTGGAGGAAAACCGCGTCGGAAATATGGAGCTTGAACGAAAACTGTCACCGGAGTGAAACTCATGAATGATGCACGGAAATAAAGACAAATTTGAAAATAATATTGAATTTAGTTAGTTAAAATATAAAATAATGATCATTTAATGACACGATTTAGCATTTAATAATAATTATAAAAATATAGCATTAAATAACCATGAAAGAAAATAAAAATGTTTAAAAATTATATAATAAACGTAAAAGATGGTATCAAATGAGGACATTTTGGATAAAAAAAATCTTAATTAAAATAAGGAATGTTTCTGAAATATATGTAGCGATATTTTCAGTGTGGAGAGTTAAGGCCCATTTCACCAACCCATAAACTTTTCCTCCACAGGCCCAGGAGCAATCAAAATATCCATATACTGAATATGTAGGTTATTATTTTTTTTTGGCAGATGATAGTCTTTTGTTTCTCAAATCTTGTTTCTAATGAGTTGAGAAATCCAAATGATATTGAATGCTTATGAAAAAGGCCTTTGGATAGGTGGTAAATAATGAAAAATCAACTAAAAAACGGATAACCAATATTCTTCAAGTTAAAATAGATCCTGAGACAATATCTCAATGACTAAAATCCACGTGAATTGCCTATGTGAGAAGTGTAGCTGAGCGGGTTTGCATGTAGGCTTTGGGTCGAGTTTTCCGGTCGGGCTTTGAGCAGAGTTTTAATTTCCTCAATTATTATTAAATTAAATAATTACATTGTGTTGTGGTGCACCGTTTTTGTGAAGGATAATTTATAACTAGAACTAAATCGTCATCAACAGAACAATAACTAACGATTATAACAGAAAGTGATCGACAATTGTGCAATTAGAAAAAGGGAGTGGTTCGATTCGATTCGGGATTTAGACGGTTTGGTCTAGCCAAATACGAACCGAACCAATTAATATCGATTTGGCAATTTTTCAAGCGAAACCAGCCAAGTTGACCAAGTTGAACCA